CCATCTGTTGGGTTCCATCATCGCCATCACCGCGCATCACCACCAAGTATGACCCCTGTTGCCCTCTCTTGAGCACTTTGAAAGTGGCCCGGAAGGAAGCACTTCCCAACCCCGAGGGGCCCCCTTATTTTCCCGTCACTCTCGGATCGCTTGTGTAGCACTTGTTCCGTGTCCCGAATTTGTTCCATCTTTATCCATGCACAAAATCCCATTTAGGAAAGCACAGGCCACGTGAGTTCGTATCTTGCTTGAATTTCTTTCCGAGATGTGCAACTCCAAGATGCGGACACGGACTCCATCAACACTCACAAGGTCTGTGTTATCCGGAGATCTACAGACATCGGTACGGACGTGCTCGTCAGCCTTGTCTACTGCAAGGTCTTGTTCTTCTATCGACCGAGAGGAGAGAGGACAACCTCAATGGTACCTTGTATGCGCTGCGCATGTTCCGCTCAGATTCAGCACCAAAATCATCACTTCACCTCCGTGCCACTATCCTCCTATGTTGTTCTTACAACCTCTTCCCCTTGAGTGCTCAACCGAGAGCAGAGTATCGTCTTAGCAGAACATAAGCGTGTGTCGCGATGGATGATGGAAGGGGGCCATTTCTTATCTGACTACGATATTCCTTCAGACCCATTTTCCAAACTCACCTACCACTAGGCCTCGCATCCTGGATGCTCCTTTTCGGGTCCTTTTGCTAATCTCGAAATCAGTGTATCTCCCTACTTCGATTTCCTTCCAACAGATGTCTCTCGGATTCGTGACCACGGTCTGTCCTCCCCAAAGGTCTTCTTCTCTCAACTTCTGCTGAAGGCTTGACTCTCAATAGATGGCACCCTCTGTCCTCACGATCCTCTGGACCTGACGGTATTCGCTCTAGATTATTTCTGACTACGGACCCAGCTTAAAAGAATGTAGCTTACATTGACAAGAATGCAACTTGCAGACATTTGACGCCACGACTCTCCCCATGACGTACCCACTGGGCAGCAGTAGAAGTGAAAAATGTTTGGAGGTTGGTGCATTGCGTATGTACCTAGCAATCACTGCTGCAGCTCTAGTGCTTGTGAAGAATGGCTCATTGCTGTTGATGTACTTCTTTCATCTCTAGGTACGTTCCGCCAGTATACTGTCTCCGCAAGATCAGGGGCGCTCCTTTCTGTGTGCCCTTGAGGATACGGTTGATATCACATATGAGGTTGGTCGAGGGAGCAGCAGGCACGCGACTACTAATCAAGCTTTGATCGCCCTAGTGCAAAAAGACAATATGTCTCTCCTTTGCTGAGTTAATGTTGGATCAGACGTCAAATCACGACAGATGTTCCTTGTGCTGGGAAGGCCGCGCACTCTCTCAATGCTTCACGGGACCCGTGTCAAGATACACCCTCTGAGGAATGCTCTGACTCCTCGACAGTATTGGCAGGCGGTCGAACCCGCTGTTGGTCGCTGACTTTGACTGCTATCTATTTTGAATTGGGGACACCATCTAAATGCGGCTGCATCCGTGCTCTAGCGCAGGAAGACAGACTTGCTCACACTCGAATTCAACGACACCGACTGGGCAGGTTCGTGCCTCTGTTCAGCCACCAATCTGTAATGGACTGGTGGTGTCCTGCAACCATCTCGTGACCGGAAGTGAAGAAGACTTGTGGATACTATGGTACCGCGAGCAACACCTATATCAACACCTGCGTTTGGTAAGGATCCTCAACTTGGCTCCTTTTTGCACTGCGGCACCCGAGATTTCAGGTCTTATCCGCTCCGGACAAGATCGATGCGCCATCGGCGTTTGTGGATACGGTGATCCCAAATGGACTTTGGCTCCTGGACTTTGGCTCCGCAACCACCCCATGATTCGATTACTGTCACAGCCTTTTCTCTGAGATGGAGACCTCGGACAAGACATGCCACACCACGACAATAATCTCACTTTTCGCGCGATCGCTAGGTCATGGTGCGAGGCTGAGTCCTCTGCTCCGTGATGCACCAAGCTTAAAGTCGATCTCAGAAAGCGGTCGATGTCCTCTCGTGAGAATGTGGATGTAATGTCGGAATTTGCCAACCCGTTACGAGTACAGAATAGGGTCATGGGTGGGATACGCCACCCAGAAAGATTCCAGAGCAAGCCGAGTAACGGACTCCTTGAGTGTGATCTTCCAAAGCGTCGATATCGGGGCCTGTGGTAGAAGATCTATTAATAGGTTTTCTATTACATGCATCGGACGTAAGGCAATATTGTGTATTATGCCACCGCCCTTCCATTCTTTAAGTCAGTATAATTGCGGAGGCCGGAGAGCCATTAATAGAAACATGTATATGAACGAGGTGGGTGAGATGACTCCTTGGAAATAGTTGTGGCGAACCACACTCGGTAGAGGCACAGCGTGTACCGTGTACAACTACAAAGTACTCGGTACTTGCAGGTACGTTAAAGCAGCGTCCATACATCCCGCGTTCCCGCTGCTTTAGTAGAAAATGTCATGACTCGTACGTTTATCAGAAAGCGGCGGGATAGTCAAGTGGACAATAATGAAGAGTGGATGGGAGTTCACAAGAACAAGAGGATGTATGGACATATAGATAGTTATTAGATGTTGATATGTAGCTATGTATGTCTGGCGAATAGTGGCCGAGTCTCTGACTCTTTGACTCTGAGTGCGTGCTGGAGAGGAGGGAAGGGTGGAAGAGATTGGGATACATTAGGTATGTATATACCTTAGTGATACTCGGCACTTATGTAGACACCAAGTAGCTCGGGCAGTTATGTAGGCGTCGGGAACTACTCAGGATGAATATGTTATATCACGTTCTTTTACAAGCGAGTGCTTGGTAAATAAGCCATATGCCTCATGTATCTCGCAAGACAGGGCTCGATTTCGGATCCGTCAAGCACCCTTCTTGTACTGAACACTCCAAACACGCAAAGAAAGTGTAAGACATATTCCATCCTTTCGTCCATATCGTCGTCGCTGTCATTGTCGTTGTCATGAACGAGAGAACGGGACTGACTGTCAAGATCTTACTCATGTACTGTATGTATGTAAGCGGATATACTAGTGTATGTACCGAGTATATATATGTGTCTGTGGACCGTATGTACTGGATGTGTAGATTCGGGACCAGGCTGACCATCTGAACAATGTTGAATATGCTGAATAGACAGCGATCCGAAAACAGTGCGAACAGTCAGTCAATCAGTCAGTCAGTGCAGGTCAAGTCGAGGAATGGTCAGATAGCAACCCAGGCAGCCAGACAGACACATTCCTCGACCCAGATCAATTGCCATTTGTCAATTGCAAAGGGTCAACCGTCAACGAGGCTCGATCCGCACATTCCACACAAATTCTCTTTGTCTGATCTAGGCCTCTTCCCTTACCTCGTTCGTATATTTGGTATGCATTCATTTTCAGATTCTGGACCACACACAGACACACGCGTCTACTGCGACCATCACATCTCCATACCGCCACGCTACAAGTACTGCACTTGGAGTAGCGCACCCAATAGAGGAAGGATAGTAGGTCCTGGCACATCTGGCCTGTCTAGCTGTCTCTCCCACAATATGGCCTGGCCATCCCATCCTATCCCATCCTATCCCATGCTTCGCAAGCGTAGAGGTGGAGATGGAGCCGGGGCCGGAGCCGGATATTCCAGCCGCGTCATGTTAAATAAAGAAAGAGAGAGGGATGGAGGGAGAGCACATCACGCGCAGCGTCTCTCGCAAGCAAGCAAGCGGCACGCAAGCGGCTTGTGCAGTGCCGTGTTGTATTCTTTCATTCCATATCAACTCACGAGACAAGTACAAGTACAAGGACCCATAAAACAGTGATAATGGTCTGGACCTGACCTGACCGATCGATATCCACAACCATCGGCGACCTTTGTTGTGAGAACCTCGAATGAATGAATCAATGTCTAGACCTGGAGGAGAGGTGCCGAGTAGCCGCGCATGAAAATCAAAAAATAAGAGAGGAGCAATCTACCATCTGTGGATTTGTATAGTGGAAGTGCACGTGGAGCGTTGAACTCTGTGCCTTAGGTACGTACCGGTAGGCGCCGTGGAGAGGCCTGAACAGAGATCTAGAATGCCAGATGCCCGATTGCCCACTGTAGAGGATACTCGGCATCGCGTGAGGTGGTGCGATCTGATGCGACAGGCCGAGGCCGCTTGGGGATGTTCTGGGCAGACCTGAGCTGGGAGACTAGGTACATTCCAGACCACTGCTCCTCAGGCAAATTTGTATGTACCGAGTCACGCGAGGACAAGCCTGGGACGACGATCCTCGGCATTCCATGGGTTGATCACTGCTGATCTTTGCTACGCGTTCTGGACTCTCGTCGTCCGTGCGATGTTCGGCCGATATTCGCAATGTTCTTTGTTCCAACTCTTTGTTCTCAATATGCCAACTTTTCCAAGATGAAGAATCAAGTTGATCATCCGGAATGGGAGGGAGCACGAACCTCTATCGGATGAGGGCCCAGAATCACGAGAACGACATACATCCGATGCGAAATGTCTTATCGACCATAACTTGCGAGATGCAGAGTAGACTACTTTGTCACCTTGCTTCCGATGCGGAGAATGCGAGCTGTCCGCGGCTGTTCAGTTGCGGGGGGGTTCTTTCAAAGATCATCTGCGTCTGTCGACCAGCCGAGCAAACAAAAAGCGGGGAGCCCGCCATTATTCCCTTGGCCCCTCGATCTCACAAGGCGCCTCCGCATTTTCAAGAGAATAATCCGGAGAGGGATGAATAGGCGCGCAAACGGATGTGAGTGCAGGCCTCGGTACGCACGAAAGCAAGTCAGAAAGAGAGTAAGCACCCTCGAACACGGCCTTTTTGAGTTGCGGAAATTGGCCGCCGAGGTCGCTCTTCTGACTCGAACAAGCAAAGCAAACACAGCCATTGTTAGCATTGATGATTGTTCGCCTCGCATCACTTTATTTCTCGGGTTGGGCGCGAGACAGGGCTCATGATGCCTGAACCGGTAGGTGTTGATTATTCCGGCTGCTGCTGTTGTTGCTGCAAGTCAGAGTCGTATACCGTCACATGCTTGCCGACAGGCTGGCAAACGAGGCTCAGCTCAGCTCGTGCCACTGTCAGCTGCACCTCGCAGGGCTGTCGCGTCAAGTCATGTTGAACCATGTGTAATGCCCCCAAACCCTGCATATCTGACAAACATGGGCTGCATGCACACCATGTGTCACCCTCGCAATTGCTGTCTGGGGTGCAAAAGTGTGATTCAAGGTCGGAATGGTCATCAACACCTGTTCTTCGGTGCCGAGCCGCGTTGCGCACTGGCTGACGGCAACCAGACGGGGCAATTGCGACACGGCGACACGGTCAGCCTGAGTAACACCGAAAAGGGTTTTCTCCATTCGGTCGTCTGGCTCTATTTTGCCTTTCGCCTTGCGAACCCACCTCGTATTCGTCTTGGCCATGTGTGTTTTTGTGTGTCTCCCCGGGTCCAAGCTTGCCTAACGGTTCAACTCGCGGCACATATGCCGTGCTGATTACGGCTGATCAAACAGTGTGCATTGGTGCAAAACTCAGTGCGGGATGTGACCGTCTGGCCAAACACCGACCACGGACCAGGCTGTGAATACTCGCAATCGAGGTAAGAAGAGCTGGACCTGGGCTTTTTGGAAGAGCAATGCCGTCGGGCACCTCGGTCTCAACGACGAGCAGGACCCCTAGAATCCGAACTGATAATATCGGGAACTTCCAGCCTTCAAAACTTTGTCGGAATGAGGAAAATTCGGAACCGGGCCCCTCACGACGAAGCCTCGGAAGCCTCGAGGACAAGAGTGCAGATGTTGATTGGACAACAAACGAGATTCGATATTAAGTGGGCACGCAATCCATCTTTCCCAAAGAGCCGGGTAGGATGGGTCCCGTCAACGAGCAGCGGTGGAGTATCTAACCGGGTTTGAGATGGATCTGACGGGGGATGAGTGGTGGCACTGGGGGCATTTTAGTACAACCGGCTTATGGGTCAAGGGACCCTTTGGTTGTTTTGTTAGAGTATGGGGACTTTACCCAGGAGGCTGAATGGGGTTCGTCGTTCAAGAGGTGGGTTTTATTGCACTGCGCCGTTGATCCACCATTGTCGTTCCCCGTCGTGTCGTTGCAACGACTTTGGGTACAAATAGTGACATTCCAAAATCCTTCTGGAAGATTGGCCTCCTCTGACCGGCATTTGCAAGTGCCCATGGTGCCATCACGGGCAGGGGAGAGCCGATAGTGTGGACTCGAGTGCACATGTTACAGTGAAGAAACCCCGTACGAGAGGTAAAAGCAAGAAGAGGAAGAAAAAGGAATTAAAGGAAAATTGCGACATGTGGCTCGGGGCTCGCCGAGGTATTTCCAGGGGGCGGTGAATGTACCTTGCCAGCAAAATTTTGGTGCGGAGGTACTTGGGGCTAGACTCGGGGAACCTCGATGCTTCCCCAATGGTTTGTACCTACAACGAAAGCCTTGCCGATCTGGTGGGTGTGGAGGAGTACGAGTAGTACGGAGTAGCAGATTGCGTGTAAACTTCGGGTTTCGCAGATGGTCCCTAGAGAGACATTGCGAAGCCAAATGAGGCGCGGCAATCCATCAACAACCACCCCCAACCCGGCAGGTGGTCGGTTCCGCACTCATCTTGATTCTTCCATTCCTCGTATACCCATCCGTGGTATCTCAGGCAGTAACAATTTCGGTTCCTGCACACATATTCCTCAGGCATCCACATCCCTCTCTCCCCGAGGCATTTGAGGCTACGAATTCGTGGGAAGTTTCGTCGCCTTGCCCACGAGAAGCGCCCACGCACCGCACCCACTACTAGCTAGCCCCGCCCTGCCCGCGACACCCTTCTCTTTAGTTAAGTCCCCGGCTTCATTTTCTGGCGCCCGGAAACGACCGACTAGGGGTTTTGGGGGGTACCGGTGAGTGGCTGGCCCTAGAGTAGGTAGGCTTTAGGTGCTATTCGGGTGGACGAGTTGGGCAGCAACTTTGAGGTGTGCCTCACCCCCAGAGTTGGAGAATGCCTGGAGTGAGTCAGTCAGATATTATTCCCTTGATGTGTTGGCCGTTGACTAGGAGAGTTGTATCTGCCGAGGGATCATAGTGGGAGGGAGACATGTAAAGGATCCCACCGACTCTGTCTGCATCTCGTAATGCGAAGAATAATGAACAAAGCAGGAAAACAACAGACAACGTGGGATGAAGCAAGTACGAGAAAGAGCAACCACCAACGTCATTGCCCAAGCACTCACTTGTATAACACAACACCATCTCTGGGAGAATAATCAAGCCTTAACTCATACGAAAAAACCGACACGGAGAACAAGGCCGGTCCAGCCATGTTCTCGGCCCTTTCTACTTGGATATATTATTATGAGATGTCGAGGTCCTTCCGCATCCAGCAATTCCAAAGCTTGGAGAGACATCGCTAGGGTCGCTGTCTGCTGAAGTAATCGTTTCCGGCCACTGCCAGCAAATAATTAATGGACAACTTCTTACTCAGGGCACACCAAGGGTCTAGAAGAGATGACAGAGGCTGTGATCGTCATAATGGTAATGATAATAATAATGAGTTGACAGAACTAATTTTGGGGGTTTGGTGTTGGTGTGGGTGATACAAGGTGACGAGTATAGAATGCCTGCGCCTTGTATCACCCGGGGCCGGTATCAGCACCATATCAGCATCAACTGTACTCAGTCGAACAATAATAAGTAGTACGTTTGTACATACATAGCACAAAGGATGACCCGATCCTTGTTTGCAATCATCATCACCATCATCAACGGATGTCCGAATGCGGCATTATACTACCAGTATACCATCACCGACCACCATACAAAATGCTCCCCAAATGTGTGCCTGAGTCATCGCACTTTTGTTGGTAGTGCACCTTTTGCTTCATTTTTGGCTAGTTCGGTAAGAGAGAATGTTGACAACAAAGTCCGTCTGACAGCGACCAGACCTACTCGTTCATACCTACGTGTAACGAGTCGTTGTCGTGATCGCCGTGGGATTCCTTCTTGGCCCATCTCCTCAATCACTATCACTTCATTGCCGGTTGTCGCAAATTGACTTCCTGAATTAGCATCTCTGTGTGATGATAGGAGGAACCAGACATGTTCCACCCGAACGAATCTCGACCTGGCCAGGCATTTGTCGCGTGGTACTGGCCCGATGATGCCCTTTTAGCCGGGGTGGAGGCCAGCTGCGACCCCCCTTATTGACTTGTTTGTTGGCGAGTCAGGCACTGGGTCTTGGGCACTGGGTGCAACGGGCGTGGGGTACTCTACCTAGGGGGAGGATAACAGGCCTGGAAGCCTGGAACTCTACCTACCAAAGTCCTTTGTAGGGGGTCCACGGGCCTCTATGGGCCTCACAACGGGGCTCACCAGGCTCAACCTAGGGATTTCATCGGGACAGATCTCGGCTCCTCTAGGCTTTGAAGCACTGACTCTTCCCCTTCCCCCATTCCGTGAGCCCGCTGCACCCGCACGGCCACCCAACCAGTATTACTCGCAGCCCCCTGTCACCGCCTTGTCACCGCCAAATCCCTTTTGCTCCAATTTGATTCACTCCCCCGTCTTCCGTCCTCAGCTTCCAAGACATACATTCTCGTCCAACCCACGTTCATGGTCTCGTTTGCGATCCTCCCATTCGACGCTTTTCGTTTAACCCCCGTGGCTTGCGCCTCGAGCCTAGCTCATCACTCGCCCTCGGTTGCCTGGCTGAAGGGCTCGACTGCGCTCGGTGTCACATTCACCCTTCACACAACAATCAGAATCCAACCCTTATTCAGGCGGTCTACTGACCGACAGTCAGCGCTGCGGACAAGGACAACAAATCAATCCTATTTGGGGGGTTTGCCTTTTCTTGCTGGTTGTTAACGGGCAAGACAGGCTTTGCTGTTATAATCCTCTCTTCCTGCCACGTCTGCCTACTTGTCCTTGACAACCCTTTTCAAACTCAGCAACACTCAACCTTTGATCACCATCACCGAAACCCTGAGGTCCCTTCGGTACCGCATCACACACTATCAACTATCGAACATCGCTATCGAAAACCCCCTGCGTCCCATCACTTCAACGGTCCGCTCATTCCGACCTGTCTGAAACCAGCCACTCAGACGCGAATTCGCTAGCCTCTCGCGGAATTCTCACAGAATCAACACGGTGCCAAAAAGCGACAAACTTTTTGCCGCTTGCTCTCCCACCCCCCCACAACCCGGTCGCAACAAACGCTACCAAGTACGACCCATACGACCCAAGGGGGCCATTCTCCGAACCCTGGTTTTGTCTTCTTTTCCCGTCCTAGGTCCGAGGTCGCACCGCTCCATCGGGTTTTCGCCATTCTCCATCCATAGCCCAAAAGGAAAAAACAAGGGAAAAAGGGCACGGGGAAGGGGCAAAACAGTGATACGGACTAATTTACTTCTACCACCCTCGCGTCCACGAACAAACATTAATAACCAGGATTATTCCCCCTTCTTCCCATTTGATCTTCGAAACACTTCCGCAGAAGAGGACCTACTCGCAAGAGGACCTTTGTTCGCGACCTGGCACCCAGCACAGCCGCCCTGGACGAGGCATATATTAGCCACTGGGATTCCATCAACATCCACGCTCACCGAACCGGGCCAACCACCGAGACGAGCAACAGCGGCAAGTCGACCGATCACAAACCCCATCACGCCGAGTCACCGTTCTCCGGCCTTCTCCTGAACTCCAGGTCGTTTAGCCGATCCTGATCCGTGGGATTGACTCGACGCAAACATATTACTCGCACATTGCATCACCACCCGCAACCATCCATCCGTTGCCACACTCCCGCAACTGGGAACCCGAATCCCGGATCTGGCGACCACTAGCAAACCCCATCATAATAACATCACGGGCCCCCCAAACTCTGTGCTTGTATATCAAACTCGACACCCCCGTCGCGTCTTGCATCAACATCGTCGTCTCTTCCAACCACGCACAGACAGCAAAATGTTCTTCTCGTCGCCCACCTCCAACATTACTCCAGCCATGACATCGGTAGCTATGTCGCGTTCAGACTCTCGCGACTCCACCACGTCCAACACCTACTCATACGCGCCTACTTCTGCCTACACGGCACTGGTGTGCGCGTCACCCACTTCGGCGTGGCCCAGTTCTCAAGCACTGGCACGAACAGACAGCACCGCATCCAACTCAACCTCGTCATCACAAACACAATCCATCGCCATGCGCCGCGACAGCAGCAATTCAACATGGATGCCTAGTCCCTACCGATCATGCATGTCACCGTTCGGCGCTGAGCCCAACTCATACCTCTCCGACGATGACTTGCTCTGTCCTGCCGAAGACCTCAGCCTGCCCGTGGAGACCATCCCGGCACTGGCACCAAAGAAGGAGCTGACCACCGAGGAGCAAATCGCCTTCCTCCGAGAACTCC